TAAGAAAAGTCTGGAAATAAAAAAGAGGAAAAGAATAAAAGAGGGAATGAAGAATAAGAAAGGCAGAAATTATAATCAGTAAATGAAGGAAAAAGAAGCAGGTATATATAGTGGAAGGTAGTAAAATCTTTTGAAAAAGGAAGAGCATAGCATTGGAAATGTGGGAAGAATATAAAGTGAGCTTCCAGTACCAAAACTTGTCAGAGAAGTGCAGCAAAAGGTCCCTACTCTTAGTCTTTTCTCCACTATTAGGAAGGTGTTAGGGACTGAGGTACTTGAACATGTAGAGCTCTGTTTTATCTACCATGGATGCACATAAGTACATGTGGGCAGCTATAAATGTATATACTTTAATGTCATGTAAAATGGGATTACTTCATAGGAGAGTATTGTATAGTCAAAAGAAGAGCAGTGGAAAGCAGGAGAGAGCAGCATCAGTTATGGGAGATCGGGGAAGCTATTATCTGAAAAAAGTCCATTAGAAGTTTATAACATCTAATGAAGTTTCAATTTTAAAGAAATGATAGCAGCAGGTCTGGTATTCTGCATTTCTCACAAGCTCTCAGGTGACTTCTGTGATTACTGGTCCTCAGACCGTGTTCTGAGTCGAGAGGGTATCTTCAGAGAAATCTGCATGAAGAGCCATTGAATAGTTCAAAACTTGAAAGGATCAAAGAACAGCATTATTTTGTTTTATTTCTGAACATATTTATAGCCACTATAAAGGGAAGCAAGGAGACGAAGCAAGAGAAATTATACATGTAAGATACTATGGCTAAAAAGCAAAGAAAAAGTCAAGGGACAATCCACAAAAAGAATGGAAAAGGGAAGAATCAAGGCCACAGCTCTTGAAATTTTGAAGACTAAGAAGGATAGTGAACAGAAGAAGTGAAAAGAAAGTTGTTAGCTAGATATTTTGGAGTTGATGAGGAAGTCGGGGAGACCTCGCTTTAGATGGCTTTAGTATATTTGCACTGAAACAGAAGATGCAATCATTGCTGCTCCAGAGAATACTGAAAGCAGTAGGAAGTGCAAGATTCGGGGTCAATTGTAGCCACTCATTTAACCTCCTCATGAGAATGTTAGGTTAGAAAGTATTGGGTGAGTTTATAGTTTTATCATCCCTCAGAGATGTATGTTAAATTGGTATTTGTTATTCAAATGAGATTAATTTAAATATATAAGTATTGGTTTTTTTTTAAGGTAGCTAAATTTTGATAGGATAGCTAGTTTATAAAACTTTTAACTACTAGCACGATATAACAAGCCAAACTAATTCTGGAAACAAAATAAATTATAGAGTTATTCCCTTAGTGCTAAAATTGTTATTTGCAGAAAATATTACACTGATTTTGAAACATAAAAGATTTGTAATAGCTCATATATCTTTGGCAATTAATTTTCTCTTTTTAGTAACCATATTGCAATATTGAAAGCTCATTATACATTATTTCTTGAATGTGCTTTGTATACTTTCGTGCACGAGTGGATCAAGAAATTTTAAGAGGGCTAAACTAGAGGATACAAGAAATGTAGGCATAGCAGTAGCCCACATTAGTATGGAAAAAAATGAATATTTATACTAACTATTATTCTACAAGTATATACCTAAGCTGATTAATTCATAACACTTTCTCTATTGATATGAATTATGCATTCAACTGAACTATCATCACACCTGTGTACTCGCCAAATGACAAGACAAAATGAAGACCATGATAAATACTTGAGCATTAATGGTATAAAGGATTCTGATGTGTTACATTAAGGATATACTGTTGGTTTTTATCATCAGCTTTCCCATTGATCCTGTCAGGGACATGATTTGTTCCTCTGATGAATGATCACTGTTCTCCCCATTTATCAGCATGTTGACATTGGTGTATGCACACTTTTCTAGTTCAGTTATAGTCATTTGAAACAATCTTTGGGAATCTCAATGGCATATATTGTTAGCCCTCTATTCTTGTTTTTCTTCCATATTTATAGTAGATACATAATACTGTCTTGTTGCTGTTTGCACACTCACTCCCCACTCCCCTAGGAAAAAAACACTAACACATACATAGTCATTTCCAAAGCCCACCATGAGGATGTAGCTTCATACTAATTCTGCAGGAATGTATAGTTGGTTTTCATATTTACATATAATTGCATATGTCCCTTTTTTTAGATTCTCCTGAAAAATATCCTCACTTAAAGGTAATAACTTTTGTATTTTTTATCTTGAATTATTAAGTATAGATTATAAGACATGCACATAATTATTTATTAATTAACTTGTTTTAAAACCCATTCAGCCTACCATTGAAGTGAATTATCCTGTTCTTCTCAAAGCAGTAGGAATGGAAGATATGCAAACATACAGTTCAGGTAAATTTTTAAACAGTTTTAAACCTGGTAATGAATACACAAAAATATTTGACATTCTCATAGTTTTCTTATTCCTAATTTATAATTTTTGCAAATTAATGAAAGATTTTAACATAAATAATGTAGATGTCATTTTTATATTTATCTTTGAGAAAAAGAGATATTTACAAAAGTAAGAAAAAATGTTTAATGTCACTTTTAACTCTGATAGTTCTACTTTTATTTCAATATGCCTAATTTCCCAGTTTGGAATCCTTGTACTTATTAAAGATACCCAGATTTTAATCATTAGACTCGAAGATTTTTCCAGTGGTTTAAAAAATGCTTATTTGAATTCTGATCTTAACCTAGAATAAGCTTCAGTTGCTAAAATGTTAATTGTGCTTTAAGTTGATATCATTTTAGTGTTGTTACACTGATGAGCTTAAGCCAACTAGATGTTCTTATTAACAGACTTGTGTGTGTGTGTGTGTGTGTGTGTGTGTGTGTGTGTGTGTGTGTATTGGAGAGTGTTTCTGGTGACTTTGGTTATTAAAAATAAGGAAATAATTAATCATAATGAATATTTGGTAGACACAATCTTTTAAAAAGAAATTCTGAAATTTCTGGCCTTAGGATCCTTTTATACTCTTTAAAGTTATTGAGAATTCCAAAGAATTTTGTTTAAGTGGGTAGTACCAATTTTATGAATAATATTAAAAATAAAACTGAAAATTTTAAAACAAAAACACACATAGCCATACATTCCATTAGCCATGAGAACTTTCACCCAATAGAGCTAGGATATGACCACATATCAGGTCTGTGTAAAAATCTACTATTCACTTAAAGTGAGAGTGAAAGTGGTAAAAAACATTTAGTATTCCTGTGAAGAGTTTTGACCTCTAAACCCCTGAACTGATGGATCTTCGGACTCCTGGGATTCTCAGATGACACTTGAGAATCATTGTTTTAAACCATATTTGGGCACATGGATGTGGAGATCAAGGAACCCTTGTATACTCTTGATGGGGTTGCCAATTGGTCCAACCACTATGGAAACAATTTGGAAGATCCTCAAAAATTAAAACTAGAACTACCTTTTGACCCAGCAATTGCACTTCTGAGTATTTATCCAAAGAAAACCAAAAGACTAGTTCGTAAAGATCTATGAACCCCTATGTTCACAGCAGCACTGTTCAAAATAGCCAAGAAATAAAAGCAACCTAAGTGCCCATCAACAAGTGATTGGATAAAGAAGTTGTGGTTCATATGTACAATGGAATATAACTCAGCTATTAAAAAAAAAAAAATGAAATCTTACCATTTGCAAAGACATAGATGGACTTAGAGGGTATTATGCTGAGTGAAATAAGTCAGAGAGAAAGATAAATACCATATGGTAAATACCATATGGTAATATTTATATGTGAATCTAAGAAACAAAAGAAACAAACAAACTAAAGGGTAACAGATTCACAGATACAGAGAACAAATTGGTAATTGCCTGAGGTCACCACGGTTGTGGGTCTGGGTGAAAAATGTGAAGAGATGAAGAAGTACAAATTAGTAGTTACAAAACAGTCATGGAGATTTAGTGTATAGCATAAAACAAACAAACAAACAAACAAACAAGCAAACAGCTTTACTTCTACATGTCAGGCTTTTTTCCTTCGCTTGTCTTAGAAAGTTTAAATCTGAGAATTTTTTCTTAAAAAACAGGAAAATATTTTTGTTACATATTCTTTTTCTGTCTCATGGCACTCTGCACTCTTTGGATCTAGTGTGAACTAAACAGATTTTATTTTTATATGGAAACAATGAGGTCACACAAGGCTGTCATTTCTCACAGAAATTTCTGTTTATATAGGCCTTAAAAAATGAATTCTAAAGACATTGTTGCATTTAGAAAACACCATTTTACTGTAATTAAGTAGTTTCTTATTAAAAGTTGTACCATTCCCTAAAAGCATTTTTAACCCATGTTTGTCATAGATAGTTAAACACAGAATAAATAGTTAGATGTAAATTTATATACTTTTAGGTACTAACTGTTAATAAAGCAAAGCTCTTATGGAAAACAGCTTATGTAATGAAAATTGCTGAGAGACAATAATTAATTAAACTTACCTATGAGAATGGCAAGTATAGGACGCATGAAATAAAGTGGACTATGAGGAAGTAGGTAGTGTGTTTGAGGAACAGGAGGACATTTAAATCTGAGAATTTTGTTTCTGTCTCCAAAGAGAATTTTTACATATTAGTCAGATCTGTCTTGTGGTTACCATTCTAATCAATGAAAACTTTATTTTCAGATTCTTCAGATTCAGATTCTGCTAGTTTGCCCCTCAATCATGAAACCTGTCAGAGAACCAGGGATTTGAAAGTTGACGATAAATGTCCATTCATATCACAATCGATGACCCCAAATCAGTCAGCATCCACAGACTTTGGACAGATGACCTTGATACATAAAGACAAGACTAATAGTAGAGCTATGTTTCTGATAAGGGATTATAAACCCTATGACCTGTGCGAATCACAGTTATCAGAAAATGGAGAAAGCAAAGAAGGTAATAGAGAAACAGAGTTCAGCCCTAGACCATCTCTGGATGGCTTCATCATACTTTTGTCTTTTGAAAAATCATTTTGTGGCAAGATCCACCTTATGTTTCCTCTGTCTGTGCAACCTACAACCAAACGGAATAGCTTTTAGCAAGATATTGGCATTCTTCCCCATCACCAAAATAACATAGACCTTAATAAGAAGAAGAATTAGGAGAAAGAGAAATTTCATTTAGCATACACGTGGCATTGGGTAGCAAGATTTTATTTAGAATTATAGGACTAAATGGAAAAACTATGTAAAGATCTAAAGATCGCCAACTAAAACAAAATGTGGCTTCTCGTTTTTATTTTTGTATCTTTGAATTCACAGGTATTAGTTATCACTATATTCAGTATAACTGAAAAAGCACCTTTCAAAACCAAATATTAAAATAGTTCTTGTATTTTTCTATGGTTTTATATATTTTAGAATTGGCTTCTCTAACAGCAATGGGAATCATTAAAGATTTGGTACATAAAACTTCCTTCTCAGCTGTGTCCACATAGTCAGTCATATTTAAAAAACATTTTTAACAAATAAATAGTTCACAAGGTACATTGTTTTTAAGGAGTGCTCTATCATTTAAAAACAACATATGGAAAACTAATTTTTTAATTAAATTTATTGGGGTGATATTGGTTAAAACCAATTTTAATACTGCTAGAATAACCATTCTATTGACTAATTACATCTAATGTGTATTTCGCTTTATGTACCATTATTTGAATGTCCTTTATCAATCATATGATCAGGTCTGTAGTAACAAAACATACAGTATTTTTTCACCCTTATAGTTTTAACGTTTTTACTTTCCTTACCTCTACAATTAACATTGTACGTACAAAAGATTTTCAATTATCTTCAGAGTAGTGACTGCAAGCTATAAATCCAAAGTTATTTACGTACGTATACAAGTATCTTATTTCTTCAGGTGCCAAATAAACACTTACCCTAGCTCCCTCAACACAAAAACATGTGAAACAGAAAAACTACAAAATGAATTCAAGCAACTTAAACAATTCATGTAATTCATTTCATTTCTTAGTCGATACCTCTTATAAAGCAATGAGCAGAGTGTAGTTCTCCAAGGACCCAGGATTTGGGCATATACTCATTGAGTAAAGATTCATTCTGTAGTGGGCCTTGATGATTTATATCTTAAATATTTCTGTAAATATTTCCTCAGTTCAGGCCTGCATCATCTTTATTTTGCATTATTGCCTTTCAATTCGTCTACCTCCATTTATTTGTATGCCCCTTCAATTCATCACTACCATAGCATTTAGAGTGATCAACCTCCAATGCAAATAGGACTGAGACACTCATTAAACCATATCACCATCTGGGCAACTTAAAATTACATCTAAGGCTATTATAATCTGACTTCTTCTAAACCTCCATCTTTAGCCCTTTCTGCTGTCTGCCCTTTTCTTTGGCATGACTAAAATGCTGCAATGCCCACCTCATCATCCCTGTATTTCAAACAAACTTTATTGTATTGTATGCTTTTCTCCCTGTCTTGGTACAGCTTTACATACTCCTTTCTTTCTCTCTATCTCTTTGATTCTGGCTAACCTCACAGTTTAAGTCTCAGCTGAGGCATCATCTCTAGGAAAGCCATTCCTGACACCTCTTATCTGTGTTCTTCTTTAAATCCCAGTGCTAAGTCCTAAAATGATGAAAAGAAATTTTTCAGAATAATAGAGCAAAAGATTTCAGATATCAGGAAAAGAGTACACCAATAAAAGCATAAAAAGTAACAGTAATTTTGGAAACAGTGAATAATATTGCAGGTGAAGTTTAGGGTGTTGTTAAAAAGGTACTACCATGAGGTAGAGAATAGAATACAGTGTGACTTTTAATTTTTTTGCTTTATTTTCTATTATTTTCTATTAGTTTGAGGTATACAGTACAATGGTCAGACAGATAGTGTGACTTTATATATTGTAGTGTGTTTCTAAATTTTGTATCTGTTTATTTTTTTAATTGATGTTGGGTGAATGAATTTTTGAATTAATTTTTGAGATGTTTATATGTCTCGAACTTCATCTCTTATTTTGCAATTGGTCTGTTGAAGTATTAGAAAATTAGAAATATTTCTTAAAGAAGTAAATATTCAGCAAAAGATGAAGATAAATTTAAACTCTCAGTGGTTAAAATGATATTTTTGTGCTTTATAAAGATTATAGCTTTTATCTAACCCTTCTAAGAAGTTCATTTTCACTTAAATATAGATTGGTCAGCAGAACTAAGCGTAAGAATGACATCAGAGGAAGAGCAAGGAAGGCTTGACACAAGTGAAAATAACCACCCACAGGTATGTAAAAATTTAAATTTAAAGTCCTGCTAATAATAGCATTTCCATGCTTTAATAAGGTAACATTGTCCAATTGAAATTACCCTGTCAAGCTAGCTTTTTAGAGTCAATATATCATAGTTGAATATTATTTGTATAACATTTTAACAAGTCACAAAATGTAAAATATTGTTAGAATCTTTAACCATTTATATAGCTGAAGTTTATTCTTGGCATTGTGACACACACACACACACACGCACACACAAAACCTCAAAACCTCAAAACCTCAAAACTTCCTGAATATTGTTTCTTTCATTTTTATACCTGCCTTACATGACAAAGAGGTAACTTTAAAAATTGAATCATATAATTAAATGGTTGAAATTATGAAAAATATAAAAATGATAGCCACCAACTTAGATTCATGTGAAAGGAGTAATCAGTCTCAGGAGTTTAAAATTTGCAGTTTGATCTTGCTAGTCATTAATGCCATGGTTAAAGATTTATTCTGCCTTGAAATCTCTCTGTACTTGACTTCAGATTCTACGTTCGGAAAGAGAATGGGATCATAAAATCTATTTGATTGCCTGTTTATTAAATCACACCTTGCAGGATAAAATTTTTTGACATTAGAGTACAAACAATAACTTTCTAATTTATTTCATTTCAGTGTAGAAAATTATTAAATATTACTTAAAAATTTACCCACTCTCCTTAGTGGATATTAGAATAAATTAGAATTGTATGCAACAGATAACTCTAGTTATGCATAACATTATTAGTGTATATCATTTGAAATAAAAACTAGGAATTTGCTTTTTTTTCTGATTGATGTCAATGATTTTGGCTCCTAAAAAATTAAAGCTTGCCTCTTGTCCAGCTATTAATCTTTTAAAAAATATTCTTAAGTATAGTGTAGGATCACTATTTAAGATACTGTGAGGGAAACTATTTTAAGTGAGGAAGCCTTTTGTAACATAAAAAATCATCTACTAATTCATTTTTGATGGATTTAACATATGACAAATTGTTTAGTTCAAACAATGAGAAAAGTAGGTTTGCAAGTTCTTGTTTTTTTTGTTTTTTGTTTTTTTAATTTAGACTAAGGCAAGTTATTTTACAGTTCCTAGTTACCATCCAATGATTTGGGAGAAGATAAACATAGATTAAGAAGTTAAATTGTAATTATGTTCTAATTTTTCTTTGTTCACTCTTGATTCTCTAGGTTGTTGAAGGGCGAAATGACCATCAGAAGCAACTTTGTCAAGAACAGAATGCCAGAATATTACAAGATGTACTTCTGACCAATCACCTTTGCAAGCAAAAGAAGATAGAAATAAATCTTAAGAAAATGAAATCTAAGGTATTTTGTTTAGTCATTTTCAAATGAATGTTTGCATGTATTTGTGTCTGTATGTATTAGAAAAAGACACAACACTGTAATATGGGAAATAGAGAGGATTTTAAAAACATACATATGTATATATACATACATATATATTTGCATATGTATATGTATTTTAGGAGTGATGTTTTTGGTCCACTAGATAAAATAATATTCTTGATTCAAATAAATGTATCCCCAATAGTAGTGACTTTCACAATAGGCTTTTAATATTTTCCATAGGAATTGAGGAGCTTTCTATATTCTCAAAGCTATTGCTACTAACAACAGATGTCCCAGGTTTTGGCAGTAACTTCCATCCCCTTGGTAAATCAATAGAGAGGTTAGTTTTCACTTCCACTGATGTTAAGGAGAAAAGTATAGGCAGTTCACAGGCCATGTTTTAGATGTGATTCTCCTACTTTTGAGAAAAGTAACCATTTGCTCCAAGTAGTATCCTATTTCATTCCAAGGAGCTTGTGAAAACAATGATATGTCATGATATAGACTTAGTGATAATTTATTAATAAGCATTTTATTCTTAGTAAAATAGATCAGTATATTATTTTCTATTTCACACTTATTACAACTTTAAATATGAAGAGAAATTTAAAGTTATTGCAACAGCAAATAATCTCATGATTTTCTAAGAGGAGCTCTATAAATTTTACCTTATTTACCATGATTTTTTTTGAAATATATGCTCTTTTTGTATTTATATATTTACACTAGAGAAGTAGCTGTGGTTTGGGACAAGAGGCACTAAATGTAGAGTTAGAAGACAAGATAAATTTTAAACTGGCTTATCTTTTTAACTTTTCTATTCCAGATTGTGATAACTAAATGAATTCATTGATATATATAGAAGTGCTTAGTGCAATGCCCAGATTAATCAGTTGTTAAAGATGTAATCTTTATAACTGACTATGAAAATATTAGAAAAGTAGGATAGCTATAGAATATTTTTGGAAAAAGTAATTTTAGGAAATTTAATCTGTCCAGATATATGGAGAGTTAATATGCTTACTGTGTGGTAGTTGTAAATTAGACTGTGAACTCCATTTTTACATGTAATCTGACTTATTAATCTTTATTTTATGCTTTCTGGGTTTGTTGCCTTTCCAATTCTGAGGCTCTTAAAAATTCTCTTTTGATTTCTTTTATACTTTCACAAATTCAGTGTCATATTAAATTTCTGAACTTTTGGGGAACTATGCTTCTATAAAGTTGGAGGTTTAGATACAACTTAATTTTTTTTTCAGTGAGATATCCTCTTATACAACCTTTTCATGATATAGACAAAAAGGTTCTTCTTCAGTTTCAGAGGATATCATAATATGTTGTTTTGTTGAGTGCTAGCTACAAATCTCCTTTGTTTTACTTAGGTTTCTGATGCTCAAGAAAAAGAAAAAAATCTGTCGTATGAAAACCACAGGTTACATGAATCAATTGCTATGCTAAACCTGGAAATAGACATAGTAAAAAATCAGAAGCAGGAAAAAGAAAAAAAATATTTTGAGGACATTACAATTTTACAAGAAAAGAATGACAGTCTTCAAAAGACCATTAAATTGAACAAGAAAACACTAAAAAAAACAATATTTCAGTATAATAGACATCTTAATGTTCTGATAGCTGAAAAGACAACACTAAACTCTCAACTGGAGAATGAAAAACAAAGTAAAGAGAGACTGGAAACAGAAGTCGAATCCTACCGTTCTAGACTGGCTACCACTATACATGATCATGAGCAAGGTCAGACATCAAAAAGAGACCTAGAATTTGCTTTCCAAAAAGCAAGAGATGAATGGTTTCATTTTCGAGACAAAATGAATTTCGATATGTCTAACATGAAAGATAAAAATGAGATTCTTTCTCAACAACTTTCTAAAGCCAAAAGAGAATTGAAAAATCTAGAAACTGATCTCCATCACACAAGAGATGCTCTCAGAGAGAAGACTTTGGCTTTAGAACATGTACAAAGAGACCTAAGCCAAACACAGTGTCAAAAGAAGGAAATTGAACACATGTATCAATATGAACGAGGTAAAGTGAATAAATATGTTGGTAAGCAGGAATCCTTAGAGGAGAGGATATCTCGCCTACAAAGTAAAAATATGTTGCTTCGAAAGCAACTGGATGATGCTCGCCCTAAAGCCGAAAATAAAGAAAAGACAATAATTACCATACAAGAACAGTTTCAGGATACGATAAAAAGATTTCAGGCTGAAAGTGAAAATCAAGGTCGTATACTGGAAGAAAAAAATCAGAAGTTAATCAATGAATGTAAAAATTTAAAAGAGCGAATGTATCGATATGAAACTGATAAAGAAGAAAGAGAAGTAAGTATCCAGAAAGATATGTATTTTTCAAATTTCCAGGAAAATATTTAATTAATATTCGATTACAACTAAATGGTGAATCTACCTTAATATTAAAAATATATAGACTATAAATGTATTTGCTCTTTCAACTTAAAAGCATACATTGTATCCAGCAAATAAAAATTAACACTGAGAGGTACTTTATTTTGAGTAAAACATTGTGTTGTTTATGAATTTTGTTTATTAAATTAATTTGGTTAATAGAATTATATAGGTTTCAAGTGTACAGTTCAATAACACTTCATATGTATATAGCATTGTGTGTTCACCACCCAAAGTGTTTTCTTTCATCACCTTATATTTGATCTCCATTACCCCTCCCTCCTTTCCCTCTGGTAACTACTAAACTGTAGTGGTGTCCATGACACTCTGTTTGTCTTGTTGTTTGTTGTTTTCAGTTTTACAGTCCACACATAAGTGAAAGCATATGGTTCTCAGCTTTTTCTGTCTGACTTATTTCGCTCAGCACAATAATCTCAAGATCCATCCATGTTGTCACAAATGGCAGTATTTCATCTTTTCTTATGGCTGAGTAATATTCCATCATATATATGTACCACATCTTCCTTATCCGATCATTTATCCAAGAGCATTTCAGCTGTTTCCATGTCTTTCCCAATATGAATAATGCTGCAATGAACATTGGGATGCATCTACGGTTACAGATAAATGTTTTCAAAATTTGGGAGTAGATACTGAGAAGAGAAATTGATGGGTCACAAAGTAATTCTATTCTTAGTTATTTGAGGAAACTCCATACTGTTTTCCACGTCCTCTCCAACACTCATTCTTATTTGCCCAGTTTGATAGCCTTTTTAACAGGTGTGAGGTGATATCTCATTGTGGTTTTGATTTGCATTTCCCTAATAGCTAGTGAAGTTGAGCATCTTTTCATCTGTCCGTTGGCCATTTTTATGTCTCCTTGAAAGACGTATCTGTTTAGTTCCTCTGTCCATTTCTTAATTTAATTGTTTGTTTGTTTGTTTGTTTGCTTGTTGGTTTTATCATTGAGTTGTATGACTTCTTTGTATATTTTGGATATTAGGCCCTTATTGGAGGCTCTGTATACAAATATCTTCTCTCTCAGGATGGTTGTCTCTTTGTCTTGTTGACAGTCTCTTTTGCTGTTCAGAAGCTTTTTAGTTTGATACAGCCCCATTCATGTATTTTTGCTCTTACTTCCCATGCCTTGAGGTCAAACTCATGAAATCCTCTCTAAATCCAAGGTCCATGAGTTTAGTACCTATGTTTTCTTCTATGATTTATTCTTTCAAGCCTTCATATTATATTCAGGTATTATATTCAGGCCTTTGATCCATTTTGAGTTAATTTTGGTATATGGTGACAGCAGTTTAGTTTCATTCTTTTGCTTATGCTTCCCAATCTTCCCAGCATCATTTATTAAGGAGGCTCTTCTTTCTCTATTGTATGGTTTCGACCCATTTGTCAAAAATTCTTTGCCCATATATATAAGAGTTTATTTCTGGACTCTCAATTCTGTTCCACTGGTTTTCGTTTCTGTTGTTCATTTGGAAGTTTGGAGGTTTAGGGGGTTTGTTTGTTTGTTTGTTGCCAATACCATGCTGTTTTGATTGCTGTCACTTTATAGTATATTTGGAGGTCAGGCAGAGTCATAACTTTGGACTTGTTTTTTTTTCCTTAGGATTACTTTGGCCGTTCATGTTCTTTTAGGCTTCCATACAAGTCTGATGATTTTTTGTTCTATTTCTTTAAAGAATGCCACTGGAATTTTAATGGGGATTGCATTAAATCTGTACAAAGCTTTGGGTAATAGGTCATTTTAACTATGCTGATTCTTCCAACCCACAAAAACAAAATATCATTCCATTTTTTTACGTCTTCTTTAATTATTTTAATAATGCTTCATTAGGTTTATTCCTAGGTATTTTATTCTTGTTGCAATTTCAAAAGGAATTTTTTTATTGTTTTTTTTAAATTCATTGTTAGTATGTAGGCATGCTATAGATTTTTACACATTGATTTTGTAACTTGAAACTTTAGTGTCTTTGTTTATTGTTTCTAATGGTTTTTTAGTGGAATGTTTAGTGTTTTCTGTGTAGAGAATCATGTCATATGTGAAAAATGACAACTTAACTTCTTCATTCCCAGTCTAGATGCATTTTCTTCCTTTCTCTTGCCTGCTTGTTCCAGTTAGGACTTCCGACACTATATTGAATAATAGTGGTGATAGCTGAAAGCTTTGTCTTATTCCTGATCTTATAGGGAAAGTTTTTATTTTTTCACCATTAAGTATGATGTCAGCTGAGGTTTTGTTATATATAGCATTTATAATGTTGAGGTACTTTTCTCTATACCCCTTTTATTAAGTGTTTTAATCATAAATGGATGCTTTATCTTGTGAAGTACTTTTTCTGCACCTATTAATATGGTCATACAAATTTAATTTTTCATTTTGTTTCTGTGATATATCACATTAATGTGTTTGCACATGTTAAACCATCCTTGTGCCCCTGGAATGAAGCCCAATTAATCATGATACAAAATGTTTTAAATGTATTGTTGTGTTCGATTTGTGAATATTTTGTTTAGGATTTTACATCTGTATTCATCAGAGACTTTGGTCTTTAGTGTGTGCGTGTGTGTGTGTGTGTTACATCTTTATCAAGTTTTGGTATCAGTAATATTGGCCTCATAAAATAAGTTAGGAACTATTGCCTCTTCTTTAATTTTTTGAAAAGTTAAAGAAGAACAGATTACATTTTCTTCAAGTGTTTGGTTGAATTCGCTAGTGAAGCCATCTGGTCCTGGACTTTTATTTTGGGGGAGGTTTTTGATGGGTGTTTCAATTTCCATAATGTTGATTGATCTGATTAGATATTCCAGTTCTTCATGATTTCATCTAGGAAAATTGTCTAATTTGTAGAACTTGTCCATTTTTTTCTAAGTTATTGAATTCGGTGGTGTATAATTTTTTATATTATTAGTATATAATTCTTTGTATTCTGGTGGTATTTGTCATAACTTCTCCTCTTTCATTTTTTATTTTCTTTATTTACATCTTTTCTCTTTTTTTCTTAGTGAGTCTAGCCAGGAGTTTGTCAATTTTATCAGTCTTCTCAAAGAACCAGCTCTTTGTTCCAATAATTTTTTCTATTGTTCTTTTGTTTCCAATTTCATTTAATTCTGCTTATTATTTCCTTTCACTTTCTGACTTTGGGCTTCAATTGTTTTTCTTTTACTAGTTTTTCAAGATGTAATGTTAAGTTGTTTATTTTGGAATCTCTTTTTAATTGAGATACACCTGTAATAATATGAAATTTTCTATTATTACTCCTTATGCTGTATCCCAAATGTTTTGATATGTTGTATTCACATTCTTATTTGTTTATAAGTATTTCTTGGTCTCTCCATTTATTTCTCCTATTACCCAGTTGTTCTTTCGTATCATATTGTTTAATTTCCATATATTTTCCAACTTTCTTTTTGCAGTTGGTTTCCAGTTTCAAAACATTGTGGTTGGAGAATATGCTTGGTGTGATTTCAGTCTTCTTAAATTTGTTGAGTCTAGTTTTATGTTCTGTCATATGTTCTATCCTTGAGAATGTTCCATGTAAACTAGAGAGGAATTTATAATCTGGTGTTTAGAAATGAAAGGTTCTGAAATGTTGATTATGTTCAATTGGTCTAATGTGTCTTTCAAGGTTGTTATTTCCTTATTTATTTTCTTTTTAAATGATGAATCCATAGCTGTCAGTGGGTATTTAGGTTCCCTATAATAATTACATTTTTATCAATTTCCCCCTTTAGTTCTGTTAGTCATTTCTTTACATATTTTGGTGCTCCCCGATTGGGAGCATGTATGTTGATAAGTGTTATGTCTTCTTGATGTATTGTTCCCTTTGTCATTATGAAGTGTCCTTCTTTGTCTCTCATTAACTTTTTTATCTTGAAGTCTATTTTGTCAAATATAAGTACTGCTACACCCACTTTTCTCTGGAGGTCATTTGCTTGGAGAATTGTTTTCCACCCTTTCACTTTGAGTTTATATTAGTTCTTGCAGCTTAGATGTGTCTCTTGAAGACAGGATTTTTTTTTTTTCTTTTTAGATCCAATATGCTACTCTGTGCTTTTATATTGGCGAGTTCAGTTCATTTGCATTTAGGGTGATAATTGATATATGAGGTTTTCCTGTACCCATTTTATCTTTTGTTTTCTGGTATCATGTTTTCATTGTTTCTTAGCCTTGTATTTCTGTCTGTTATTGTAATTTGGTGATATCCTATGAATTTTTTCCTGTTCCCTCTATTTATGTTATGTGTCTCAGTTCTGGATTTGTATCTGTGTGTGTGTGTGTGTGTGTGTGTGTGTGTGTGTGGTTATCATTACCTTTATGTAAAAAAATTCATATATGCAGTAGTACTTTTTCTTATGCAGGCATCCTATCTCCATTCCCCTTCGTAAATTTTACTTCCTTCCTTTTTTGTTTTTTTTTCCCTCAAATTTTCCCTATTTATTCTGTAAATTCATTTCTGAGTTTCAGTAGATGTTGACTTCTTTTTTTAATAATGTTTCGACCTTCTTTAACCATTATGTAATATTTATATTCACAATACCCTATTTTGAAGTAGGGTTGCAATTTCCTATTTCTGTCTGTTTGTTAGTCATCTTACTCATAGTTTTGTATCTTTCTGTCTTTTTGTTTCAGGTAGAATAACCCCATTCAGTATTGCTTTTAAAGTAGAACTTGTGGTGGAAAATTTCCTCAGCTTTTTTATGACTGCAAAAGTGTTTCTCCTTTAGATCTAAAGGAGAACTGTGCTGGATATATTCCTCTTGGCTAGTCTCTTTCAATAGTTGGATTTTTTATTCCACTCTCTCCTAGCTTGTAAAGTCTCTGCTTAAAAGTTTGATGATTATCTAATGGTTTTTTTCCTTAAGAGGTTACCATCTTATTTTCCATGACTGCCTTGAGATTCTTTCTTTGTCATGAATTTTGGACAGTTTTGATATAATGTGGTGTAGAGGAGGCCTTGCTGTTTAGATAGTTAGGTGTTCTGCTTGTTTCTTGAATTTGAAGATCCAGTTCTTTACATAGGTTTGGGGATTTCTCATCTACTATTTGTTTAATTAGGCTTTTATTCTTTTTCCCCTTGTTCTTCTTCTGATATACCCATTATTCATATGTTGCTCTTTCTGACGGTGTCAGATAATTCTAAAAGAATTCTTTCTTTCTTTTTCTCTCTTCCTTCCTTCCTTCCTTCCTTTCTTCCTTCCTTCCTTTCTTCCTTCCTTCCTTTCTTTCTTTCTTTCTTTCTTCCTTTTCTTCTTTTTTCTCTCAAGTCTCTCTCTTCTTCCATCGGCATCATTTCCAGATTTCTGTCTTTGATACCACTAATTCTTTCCTCCATCCGGTCATGTTTATTTCCTAAGTTCACTATTTCATTCTTCATATCTTTTATTGAGTTCTTCAGCTCTAGATCTATTTAATTCCTTTTTAGAGATTAGATCACTTTGGTAAAGTATTCCTGTTTTACATTGATTTTGATTCTGAATTCATTGAATTGCTTGTCAGAATTTCCTTACATCTTATTGAAGTTTTTTTCAGAACTGCATTCTTGACTTCTCTGTCATTTAAATTGCATATTTCTATCTCTTTAAATTAATTGTCTGGAGATTTATACTTTCTATCTGAGCTACCTTGTCACTTTGGTGGTTCATGATATTCGATGTATTATTTCTCTGTCTCAGCATTTACAGGAATGTACTTTGCTTTTTCAAAAAATTTATGATTATTTCACAGGTTAATAAGAAGTGGGTTTTTTTTGTTTGTTTTCCAGTAAGTGGTGCACAAGCCTTCTGCACTGCCCAGGCCTGTCGGGTCTCTGCTTTGTGGCAAAAAAAAAAAAAAAAAAAAGCCCCTTAATCCCTGGGAGGTGTGTGTCCACTCTATGATCAGGTTGCTTCAGTCCCACAGCTCTACCACCATGGGAGAATGTGATGGGCAATGGGGTTCTGAGCTTCTGAACTCCCAGTACTGCCCCACTAGCCAGATGTGATGTTTCGCTGCTTGAAGTGTCCCAGTGCCTCTGCTGTGATCAGCCTGAATGGGTAGGTTTGGCGTGGGTTGGGAGAGGCTGCAGGTGTGCCTGTGGCTGTTTTCCTTCCAGTAATGCTCACTGCTGGCTTTAGTCACCTAGCCTCTGTATCTCCACTCCTGTCACCTGGACCAGTCACTTTTGTGTCTCCTCAGTTGTCGCAGATCCTCTGCTCTGCAGCCTGACACTCACTGCAGTTTTCTTGGTGGGAAACTGCAGGACCCACTGCTAGCGCTTGGAAAATGCGGGGAGGTGTCTAGGCTCCAAGACCTGGCCTTCTGCCTGGCAATGACAGCTACTAGAACACAGAGGTCGCAATTCTGTATTGCTTCTCTGCCCTTTTCACTGTGTTCTATCCAGGACCATATGCTGATCACTCAGGCAAAAATGCTTGGGGCTATAGTGAATGTAAGCCTAATCTGGTTCCTTCTTCCTCCCCAAGTGTCACAGGGAGCTTTGGGCTGCATCTGTGGCATCATCTTGGCTCCTCTCCCTTTCCTCTTCTTTTGCTCACCTGATTTTCCCACCTTCAGATGCTCTGATGTGCAGGTCGATCAGATGTGGTTGTGTGTTAGTTAAGCTGGGTGTTTTCTGTTGGATTCTAGCTCTTTAATTTATTGTAATTTCAAGGAGAGAGATTAAGGGGATGCCTCATGCCACCGTGCTTCTGATGTCACTCCTGCCTATGAAATTTTAAGTTATAAATTTTTAACAGATATAGATTGATATTAACAACTTAGACACATAGTACTAAAATCATAATTTTAATATTTCTGTCACCACAGTTCAATACCACTTTTGAAGCAGATAAATGTAAACACTCATACCTAAAATGAGTATTTTTAAATTAAGATTCAGTTAGATTACTTTGACAGTTAATTCCAGATTTCCCAGATGAACTGAGCTGTAGATGCTCTATCTCAAAGTACTTTCCCTTCAGTAGCTTCTAATACATTACCGTTGGTATAATTTTATTTTTATTCATGGCAATTTGAATGAAATTTAGAAACATTTCAGTCTTAAATAGTGTATTCGTAGGACATCTGAACACTCTAAAGGCAGCTACTTCTCATTAATCATATTTTGGGAAAGATGTAATGTGTTTTAGCAGTACTACACTAGATTTAATCTTCTCACTGCCATTTATCATTTTCATTGACTATTTTTACAAATAATTCACCCATAATTCTCATTTTAGGTGCCATAGCCTGTGATTTGGACATAAGTTTGTCCAATACAACAAGAATTGCAGCCCGTTGTGATTTGCTAATTTTGCATTGGATCTGGATTTTTAGCGAGCTGTAGATGCTATATCTCATAGTACTTTATCTTCAGTAGCTTCTTATACATTAACATTGACATAATTTTATTTCTATTCATGTCAAATTTGAATTAAATTTGAAAGTAAGTCTCAAATAATGTATTCATATGACTTTTCAACTCTTTAAAGACAGCTAATTTTCAGGAAATCCTAATTTGGGACAAATGTGGTAAGTTCTAGCCAAACTACATATGATTCAATCTTCCTACTGCTATTCGTATTTTTTTTTTTTTTGGAATATTTTTACAAATAATTTGCACATATTTTTATTTCAAGAGCCATGACTATTATCTGTATATAAGTTTTTCAATACGAAGAGAATTGTGGCTCTCTGTGCTTCATTATTTTGGCATTAGATCTCCATTTTCAGAATTGTGACAGATGGCAGGATTCATATGTGACAGAGAGAGAGGTCAAGGCTAGGGTTCCTAGTGCCATGAAGCCCACTGGAATAATTTCACTTTGATTCTAAGGTATAGAAATCCATTGGAAAGATTTGAGCAGAGGGTTGAATATGTGAGAAAGTCGAGTTAATTTAAGCCTCCGAAAAATAGAGGGAAAACATTCCACAATGTAGAATTTACTACCACTAGTCCCACTGACATACATTTTTCTCTGAGACTTTTGTAGATTTTAAAAGCTTTGCAGATTTATCAGGTTAAAATGGCCAATGGGGCTGAACCCATTGCCCAAGTAAGCTAATACTGATTAGGCAGGAGGATACCACCTTCTGTGTCTTTAACCAAATTTACACCAATGCGTCCACATGAGAAAAAGGTGAATTGATGTATGTGCTGATTTTTTTCAAGTTATATATTATGTTTAAAAATACATATGATAGTTATCTATCATTAATATAATATTTATGTGAATTGTAAAATCAGTAACAGAAATGTCTTCCTAGGTATTCGTGAGACAACTTCAACAAGAACTGGCCGATACCCTCAAAAAGCAATGTATGTCAGAGACTTCACTGGAGGTTACACAGGATTTGGAAAAGAAATTAAATCAAATAAGAAGTCAAGTATGTATGAAATTTAACATGCAAATAGTTAATTTATAGCTGGTTAAATAACATAAAGTATTTAAGGATACTAATCTTTATGAACAGCTTTCTTTTGTATGTTCATTTCTTATAATTTTATTATCTTTATAATGCACTTATATCTTAAAATCTTGCTCTAATTCTGGCATTTTTAGTATATGTTTTTAATAGTATTTAGCCTTGAAAAAGTTGAGAATTGTGCAACATTTTTAATAATAGTTGAGAGAGAATTTTTTTTCCACTAAATCATATTTTTCTAGTAATAGTTCCATTCCTAAGAAGAGGTAGTCATTTAAAATCAGAAGATATGTTTAATGGAACATTACAGAAAATTATCTTATTATCTTCACTTCTGCTCATAGTTATGGAATCTCTACATATTTTGTAAATTTTGATAACTTGTACAGAAAGGTCATTATATAAAGCAGTCAAAGTAAGCATTTTCCCTCATTTTCTTTTTATTTTAGAACTGTTATAAAAGCATAGAAATGCTACTTCTACTCACGCACAATAGAAGATTAAGAAAATTGTCTAGATCCACTATCGAATTTTAAAAACCAGCCATATTGGGATATAATGCACATATCATATAACTTACCCATTTAAAATGTACAATTCAACATCTCTTAATATATTCAGAAAACTGTGCAACTATCACTACATTCAAATAGAGAATATTTTCTTCATCCCCACAGATAAACCCCCACATCTCTTAACTGTCACTCTCAGCTTCCCTTCTAACCTCAGCCTCAGGCAACCACCTTTCTGTCTCTATAGATTTGTCTATTTAGTGTATTTCATATAAATGGAATCACACAATATGCAGTCCTTTGTGGCTAGCTTTTTTCATTTAACATCACATCTGCAAGATTCAACAGTGTTATCGCACATATCAATATTTTCTTTCTTTCTTCTGATTGCTAAACAATGCTTCATTGTCTGGCTAAACCACTTATCTGTTCATCAGTTGATGGAACTTTGTGTTGTTTCCACATTTTGGCTATTAATTCTACTATGAATATTAGTTTACAAATTATTCTGTTAACATATGATTTTATTTTCCTGCCATTGGATTTTGTCCTCTGAGTGAATTAGGCTGATTTCACCACCTCGTAACATTTATGCATTCTGTTCTTTCTGTCTTTTCAGTTTCTATTTCTCTTGCCTAATCTTGTGTCTACTCAGACTGGGCTCCCAATCTCTCCGCCTCCATGAAGCTTTCTCTGAGAGTTCTAACTTTGAATTGAGCTCATTCTCTTCAGCACCTGTCATCTATTCCATACAGAACAACTTATCCCTTAATTTTACCTTGTTTTAATTTCTTTCATGTGAGACAATCTTATCTTTTTAAGTATAAATTTATCTAAGGTGGAATACTGTTTGATATGCATGTATCAATTTAAAATATTTTAGCTTAACAGTCGTCAGGATAAAATTTAATATTATATACTCCACCAACACTTTGTTCTTGGAATCAATGAAATAATTAAGATTTTATTCTAAATGTATTTTAAGCCATTAAATATAAAATTGAAAGCACTTAACCCAATAGAAAGGTGTTCTATCAAATTTTTTTTCTTCTCACTGTAATTTAAAAAAAAAAAAAGACCTTTTTTTACTATGCATCCAGAACTAGGATTTACAGATTTATTGCACTTTACCAACTGTAAAGCTCTGGAGATGGCTTTTCTGACATGCCATACCATATAGCCTAAATCTACTCATCAGGGTACTTGCCTTCACAGCCCTAAATAAAAAGTTTCTGGGAATGAATTGATTCCAGAAATTTGATTTAACAATAATGGTGACACAGAAAGGTGAAGTACTTTGCTCAAGGTTACACACCTAATAACTAGTATACTCTGGGATTCAAACCCAGGCATTCCTATAGAGACTACTACCTATGTAAATACTACCACTATTCCATGAAGTATCTGGTTGTCACCAAAAGCCTTCTGTGAACTTTTATAATCACTGGAATTGCCATGGTCATTTACATATGTGATTATTTAAAATAGTTTATGTGGTACTTGGAATACAAAACTGTAAATGTTTATTATAAGATAATTTGCTATTTTTTCCCCAGTCGACCAATATATAAATTTGCATGTTTACCTAATGAAACATAAATTTAAAAACATGAATGATAGTGTTGTTTTGGTACTAGAGAAAAGGTTTGTAAACTTTTTTGGAAAGGGCCAGATAGTAAATATTTTAGGCTTTGTGAGCCATAAGGTCTTTGTTGCCAGAACTCATCTCTGCTGTAGCTATAAAAAACAAAAAACAAAAAACAAAAAAATAGCAGATGAAAGAGTGCGGCTGTGTTCCAATAATAGCGTAGTTACAAAAATAGGTAGATTTGTAATGGATTGTCAGTAGTAAATGTATTTTTTCCTTCCTTTTAGTTTCAAGAAGCCAGTGATCAATTTGCACAGGCCATAAGATGTGCTGAGAAGACATCAGATGACATGCAAAAGTATAATTAATAGCAGGACACAAAATAACTTGTAAAGTAGATGGGCAGTGTAGTGTGAGAATATGATTAGTTATGATAATAAATACATCAGTGTGAAGCTGAATAAAAATTTCAGCTTTGAACTTATTTAAAATGCATAATTTGTGCACATTGTCTCTCCATTTTGCATATTATCCAGAAAACACAATTGTAAAAATGCCAGCCATCTACTTTTCAAATTTTAAGGTTTTATTCGATGATACTTTGTTGTTTGTTCAGAAATTATGTGGTATGTTTGAAATTTATGTGTGAGAATAATTATTTTAAAACATACATTTTAGGCTCTCAATTCAAAATGACGAGTTTAAAGTCACAATCAAAAAACAAGCAGGCAGAATTGAACACCTTCAGACAAATCTGTTAGGTGCAAGTTCGGTAAGTCAATGTCTCAATTTCTGTCATACTGCAGAGGGATTTTTATTTCTCTTGGACAACATGAGCAGTCTCACTGATGAAAGAATTTATCGTATTCCTATTAATACTACTTGTTAGTAGTCATGTAATTTCCCTCTATAGGGGAAGTTGTCTGAATGCCTAAAATTAATTATTTTTGTAGTAGAATTTAATTTAAAAAATCCAATAGTCTAAAAGCAGTATTGATATATATCCCATCTTTTATCCATTTATTGGTCCAATATTTGGGTTATTCCAACGTTAAGCTGTTGTTAATAATGCTGCTGTAAACGTTGGACTATGAAGATCTGTTTGAGTCCAGACATGTTAGCAATGATTTGATCTAGAATTCTGAATTCCCTCTGTAATCTACAACCTTCTGTGAGATTTTGAGAATGAATTACTTTTAATGTTCTAATTTGTTCCCTTCATCAAGAATAATGCAACCGTTTCACAGAAAGAATGTATTTTTCTTTTTCTTTTTGGGGGTGAAGGGGGGTGTTTAAAAAGAAAAGACATGCTACTGAAAAAGTAGAAATGGCTGCTCAATCAAGGTCTTACATAGTAACAAAGTGTTCTTAGCATTGCGAGTTTAGAAATTAGTTCCACTCACTAAATTAATCAGACTTTCGGTGATTTTACAATCCAATCTCAGAAAAGATTATTGTGAACTCCAGGATTCTATTTTATTAATATATAGTGAAAATTATGTAACTATTTATTAAGCAGGACAGGATTCCCCTGTTGTTCCTACTCTCCTCTGTAGGAGACACTACCTAAGATTTAAGGTTGCATTGTGAACTCTAAGTTGGAGCAATGAGGTAAATGAACCTACCAACTAGTTCCTTTCATTCACAATAGCTCTGTCCATGCAATTTTCTAATACAGATATACCCATAAGGGGAAAGTTCAAAGCACTCTGAGAGAATGTGAAGGAGGAATAGAAGGGGTCCAAGAGTGAACATCAGGGCAGCTGTTGGTTAGAAATGACTTGGGGTTAGAGGAGCAGAGACTGGGCGTGTGGTCATTGCTGTCAGTTGCTGCTGAGAAAGTAAAGTGGGGTAAGGATGAAGAAAAAGATGACCTCAAAGAATTTTTAGTGCAATTATAGAACTGATAAATTCTTAGGTAAAAGAAGAGAATAAGTGATGAAAATATGAATATATGGTTGAGATCATGCATTAGAGAATGTTAGAGTCCAATGGAAGGGGAGAAACAGGATGACAGAGAAAACTACAGGAGTCAAAAGAAAGTTATGTATTTATATAAAAATATAGTGAAGACTTAAACTTATTTTAAGAGAAAAGTGTTTGATAGAAAAGGAGAAATTGACACATGGAAGAATTCTGACAGAGAATGAGAGTCTTTATCTCATCCTAAAGTCAGATTATCATCATAATGTAATAAGAACTGCATGGGGATTTTTTAAACATAATCTTAGTAAGATGTGATTTAATAAAACCTGGAATAACTTGAACTATTGATGAAAATGTTTCTAGAGCATCGTTAGAAACTAAAATGTAAATATAGCCACTCTTTTAAAGTCTTTATCGCTCAGTATTTTACTTGTAGAAGCCTCTGTTTTTAAATAATTTGGCAATTTAAATTCCAGAAAAAATGATAACAATGTAAAATCGACTATGCTATCTTAAGAAAAGTTTTTATGTAAGTCTCTAAATTTTTAGAAATATTTTTTAAATATTTTTTGAAGTCTCAGGTTGAAAAGGAACCACTAAAGAACTATACTGAGTTAAAACAATCTCTGGAATACCAATTGGATCAAGAAAAGAAGAAAAATGATGAATTAGAAAAAGAGATTACCCGGTAAGATTTTAATATTTTAGATCATTTCAACCATTAATTAAAGTTAAACTATAATTTCACTTAATTAAAAGCTAAGTATAAATTTATTTTGTAATTCTCATAATTATCCTGTTTAAAAATTTACTTCAGAAACTCACAGCGCAATCACATTTTTCTGTATACCACAATAATAGATCTACTCTTTAACGATCCCTAAAACAATAATGAATGTGACTTTTGCATATACTGTCAACTGCATTCTTTGTTTACCTTGAGTTTTTGTTTCTGCGAGATGTCTTTGCTCTCTTTTATTAGTGTTCTTTTCTTCAGCATTCCAAAAGATTAATGTCTGAAAACCTGTGTCATTGTTTAACATCAAAAATTATCTTGATTTGGTTTATGTTTTCTTTCAGCTTTTTTTCATTACATCTTACATACAAAAATACATGTATGACTTAAAGAAGAATAAGATAAGTGATCTTGTTTTTACCACTTAGATTAAAAAAAAAAAAAAAAAAAAAGAATCTTTCCCAATGCCTCAGAAGCTCCCACATGGCTTCCTATCTATTTGCTGAGTACTTGAGTTTGTTCTCTGATTCTCATCATGTATTTCCTCTCCTTTAACTGTCTTTCTCTAGGTTGTTTTGTATCCCTTTCATTTTGTTAACCTTGTGCTAGCAAAGTCCTGTAGCTTTTCTTTTCCCCTCTCTCTACTCAGGCTTCAAAGAGTTTTCTTTCCTGCTGCTCATTCTATTTTGAGTGGTCTCCTTCTGATACTTTCTCTTCTTATAGACTGTCCTCAGTGGGTATCAAATACATTTTTGTGTCTTTTCAAAACTTTCACATAAAATGATTCTTTTCTTCTTCACCTGGGATACTGATCTGTGATGTATAGCTGATATTTAATATAGGTTAATATTCTATATTAACATACTAAAATGGATATTTATAATAACTTGCTTATAAGAACTCTATATGGCTACCATCTTAATTCTGTTTCCTATATGTCATAAAATTATTTTTTATATTATTTACCTAATATTATAATTTAGTTAGTATGCTTTCACACAATATTAGACTAGAACAAAATGCAAGGGGATCCTCATTTATAGATTTGTTTATTTTATATAATAGAAAATAATAATTGTTTAATAATGATCAAAACTTTGCTCTTAAAGAATTTGACTTGCTCATGTTTTAAATTTCTGCAGGATTCAGAAACTCTTAAAAATTACAAAAAGGAAGTTAAATGAATATGAAAAAGGAGAGCTTAGTTTCTCTGGAGCTTTAAAACCCAGTCACATTGAAATGGATATTCAGATTAATATGTTAAAACAGGAGGTAATTTTTACTCAATTTTGGGACTTGAAATTCACTTAATTTGGGGAAATATAAATCACTCAATGCTTTGAACAGTGTCATAGAGTTTTCTATTAATTTTATAGATGATATTTTTGAAAAAGACTACTTTTTTTTACTATATCATTTTTCTATGAAAAAGACATGTTCTTAACTCTCCTGTGTCTTAAACCTTGGCTAGTGATCTAAAGCCAAGAAGCACACATTTACATCAACCCAAGGCACTGGCACCAATTCTATTTGGGGAGAACAGCTTGATCAAACTATACTGAACACATCATGGAGTTCACTTGTTTAAAGTGTGCCACTCAGTATCTTTTATTATATTTAAAGATTTAAACAGTCATCATTACAATCAATCTTAGAACACGTTCATCACCCTAAAGAGTAACCCTGTGCCCTTTTGCCTTCCCCGTGTGCCAGTTTCCCTTCCCCACTCTTCTTAGCCCTAGGGAACCACTGCTGTACTCTGTCTCTATAGATTGACCTGTTCAGGACATTTCATATCAATGGACTTGCACTATATGTGACAGTCATTCATGACTGCCTTCTTTTATTTAGGATGATATTTTCAATGTGCATCTATTTTGTAGCGTGTATCATCACTACTTCTGTGTATTGCTAAACAACACTCCATTGTATGCACAGACCACATTTTAGAAAATCTGTTCATCAGTTGATGGACCTTTGGCTTGTTTCCAGTTTTTGGCTATTGTCAATAATGCTGCTATGAACATACATGTTTAAGTTGAGTGGCTTGAATAAACAATATTTATTTCATTCACAAATCGACGCTTAGGTAAAGTGTGACCAGGACAGCTTGTCTCTGTGCCCCTCAGCTTCAATTAGGGCAGCCCACTGGCTGGTACCTGGAATCATTTGGAGGCTTGCTTGCCATCATGTCTGGTGATTGATGCTGACCATTGGTTGGAACTTTGGGGAAGTCAGCCAGAACACCTATGCTGGAACACATGGGCACTCATTGTGGACTGAGTTTCCTCACTACATGGGGGCTCAGTGCCAAGGTTAAGCAGCCTGAAATACAGAGCCAGGCAGCAGCTGTGTTGCTTTTTCTGAACTGGCCTCAGAATTCACACAGGATCACTTTCACCACATTCTGTTCTTTAAGTCACTAAGTTTGACCCATATTCTACCTGTGTATAGAATGAATATTTCAAAAATGTATGGACACATTTAACAACCAGCTTAATCTAACCACTGGCCGTAATTGCTTCTATGCCTCCCACGTGAAAAAATACACCAATCCCTACCTCATACCACTACAAGTCTCAATTATTATGATGTCAGGCTCAGGCCCAAGTCCAAGATTTTACCATCTTAATCAGGTGTAGACACAGATGAGGTGCCTAGGGTGTGGTTGCTGGAGTAAAGCCCCTTGAGGACAATTCCTATCTATATGAAGACTTGAGAACAAAGAGACAAGTTATTTGCCACCCACACACCCAAAAATCAGTTAAATGGCTAAAGACTCCCATTCAGAAAAAGGAAATGAGAGGCATACTCATCCATAGTAATTCTGAAATAAAGCCTGATGCACACCTCCAGTGCTTTGATGAGGACTTAGTCTTAACCTCAAGTTAGCCTATAGGTTAGAATCCTCTAAAGGTTGGTCATACACCTTTGGTAATTGAAGCTGACTCTTGACTGGGATGTTAGCTGAGATCTTCTCAGTCAGAACATCTATAGGAGGACTGACTGTGTGCCCTGGGCTTCTTCATTCTTCACAACATGGTAGCTGGGTTCTCAGGGTGAGCTTCTCTAGAGATAGAAAGTCAGATGGAAGTTGTGTCACATTTTCTAACCCAGATATAGAAGTCACACAGCAGATCTGCCATATTCTATTCACTAGAAATCAGTTACTAAGATCATCATGTATTTGATGGGAAGAATTTTTATAGTAGAGGCTTCAGAGGATTTATAAATATATTTTTTAAATACCACATCCCTAACCCTTTCTTACAAAATAAGCATTGTATCTAAAGGAAAATAGTTCTTCCCTACTCAGTATCACTGAAATTCCAGCAACATTTTGTTTTTGTGGTGGTGTGTTTGTTGTTTAGCATGATCTCTTGTTTTGTGGAAAATAATACAGAATCACATGATCACACTATTGAATTAAGACATATTTTGTTGAAAAGATGTAAGGATCACTGAGAAATGTGATTACACTGGGAAATGTGATTTCTCCTTAACAGTGGGAATCATTTCTTTGTGGAATACAATTCAAATTAGTGTAAAACATTTGTAGTTCAATAAAAGGCTTGTGGCAGTAGAATCCGTATTTCTAAGATTCATTAATTAGAGTCTTATTTTCAAAGTCTTATCTTGAGAGGCATTTATTGACTGAGGCCTAAATTACTCAATTTGATATCTCCAAAACTTCTTTAAAAATTATGGACGGGTAGATGGCAGGGAGGTGGGAGGCCTTCTACTAAAAGCGGTGAGAAGTGACTTATAGTCATTTTATGGAGCAAAGACATGAAACAGACAAGGAAGTGCAGAAAATCAAATGTGAATGTTATGTGCAAAGATGATAACAGTAAAGAATATATTTTTGTGACTCCTGGTGGTTTTAACTTTGTTCCTGATCCTGTGTAATTCAAGTTTCCACAATTTAAGACTCCAGCACAGTACAGATCATATGTTATTGCAACTAAATTTATTTCCAAAGTTGATACTGGTTGTGAGTTAGGCTCTTCTCGGTCAACTTCTTTCATCACCAAACTCTATTCTCTTTTCATGCAGATTGCTGATTCTACAGAAAAGCTGGAAACTGCATCTTCAAAATGTCGACATCTGGATGAAGAAAATCAGTTTCTTCGACAGCAGTTATTATCTATGAAAGAAACACAAAAGAAATGTGAAAAACTAGAGAATGAAAACGAGAAGTTGAAACAAGAATTAGTAAATGTCAAGAGTCACATAAAAATGAATATGGTAAAATACAGTGAAGTCGAACACTATAAACAGGAGATTGAAGAAAGAGCAAGACAGAAAATAGTGGAAAAATTAAAAGAAGTTAATCTATTTTTACAGGTTAATTTATTGATTTTGAATGTGCTTTAATTCATTTCCCTGCAAATTACATTTTGGACACATAACATTGTATGTGTTTCTTCTACTTCCCTTAATAGCAATTTGCTTTGTAGATTCCTGGAGGGACGGTGGCATTTGCTTATCCCTTTAAATATTTCGGTTTCCATCATCACCATCCTAAATTGATCACTGAGAATGATTCTTTCTAGAGAATCATTTTATTTTTAAGACCTGTTGATACAAAACAAAATTATTAGGAAGAAAAAGACATTTGTGATTTAGAAATGGTACTATCCTCATGGATTGTTAAGTTCTATTGTTCAATTTTTTAAAGTTTTAAATTGATTCTGTCTTCAAATTACCCAGTGACAGGAGTATTAATATTCAACATTTTCATAATTCATATTTAATTCAGTTGACATTGATGATAAATATTTTATACTTAGGCTTTTTTTACATTTCAAGTTGCTCTTTGAATCACTGACTCAGAACTAGAAGAAATGAATATACTATAATTATTCAGGATATACTTATTTCAAAAATGATTCCTTTTTTTTGCATTAGGCACAAGCAGCATCTCAAGAAAACTTACAGCAGTTAAGAGAGAAAAATAATGCTTCAATAAGAAGTCAAATGGAACTCAGAATTAAAGATCTAGAATCTGAACTCTCCAAAGTGAAAACTTCTCAAGAAGATTCTAATAAAATGCAATTGGAAATGTATAAGCAACTCTACCTAGAGGAATTGAAAGTTAGAATGTCATTGGAAAATAAACTAAATGTGTAAGTCAAAGCATAGAATCAGAGAAAATAAATTTAGTTCATTGCCACTAAAGCATAATTTTTATCAAGCCAGGTTCACAAGATTAGTAGGAAGTGAAAGCTAACTAAATATTATAATTTTGGTAAATGATGTCAGGAAATAAATTTACCTTTAAAATGTTATTCCAGTCTATGGCCATGCTACCCTGAAGAAGCCTGATCCCATTTGATCTCAGAAGCTAAGTAGGATCGGGCATGGTTAGAACTTGGATGAGAGACCACCTAAGAAGACCAGATGCTGTAGG